AGCAAGAAATGGCCAGAAATGGTTCAACGACAAATGCAAGAAAATGAGGGAAAAAAGCATCTCCTTTGGAAAAGATTCAGAAGGCATAGATCTCAGGCAGCATATGAAAGATATAAAGTAGGAAGAAATGAGTATACCCAAACCATGAGAGAGGCGAAATTAGACTTTGAAAAGGACATAATAAACAAATGCGCAAGTCAACCAAAATCTTCTTTAACTACATAAATAGTAAAACTAAAAGTAGGGATCAAATTAGCGCTATCAAAGACAATAACATTATATATTCTAAGGAGGAAGAAATGTGTGAAATCCTAAATGAGAAATTTCAGTCAGTGTTTGTTCAGGATCCATGCTTTGATATGGAACGTAGAGACCATGGTAAATACAGAATTTAGGTCCATAAGCAGTTAGCTGAGATATCGAAATATAAGACCTGGTTGGTATCAGTTCGATACCCGAGATTTTCCTAATATGTATTGGCAAGTAATGAGGGCAATAAAAGATGCAAGAAAGACATTTTCAGTTACTTGAGCCTTTCACTTATTGAGTGATGATATCTTATTTACATATAATTTTGTCAGAAATATTCCATTGAACTACTACATATGAAAACAGCTGTTCCCATCAAGCAAAGCAACTTTAATGTGGAATTATGGCTAATATAATATTAACACTTGAAACAGACTGTTTAGGTATTCGAACATCAAAGCAAAGCAAATACCCGTACAGACGTAAAGAACATCGAAAATATCACCCTCAAAAAGAACGAAATAAAAGATCTGCTAAAAGGATTAGACAAGACCAAAGCAGAGGGACCAGATGAAATTTCTAACTGGGTTCTTAGGGAATGTGTCGAAGAGCTGTGTACTCCTTTATTGTTAATATTTCAAAATTCACTAAGACAAGGTAAACTACCAAAAAGTTGGAAATTCGCAAATGTTACACCCTTATATAAGAGCGGCGACAAACAAAACCCACTAAATTATAGACCAGTTTCATTAACTAGTGTAGTATGCAAACTGCTAGAAAGAATAATTAGAAAACAATGGGTTGAAATGCTTGAAAAATACGAAATGATATCAAATAAACAATTTGGTTTTAGAGAAGGAAGGTCGTGTGTAACAAATCTCCTCTGTTTTTATAATAGAGTATCTGAAATATTACAAGAAAGAGACGGCTGGGTGGATTGTGTGTATTTAGACTTTAAGAAGGCTTTTGATAAGGTGTCTCATAGAAGACTACTATGGAAACTAGAGCACCTAGGTGGAGTGAAAGGTAACCTACTCGCATGGATGAAAGACTTTCTTCATGAAAGACAAATGAGCACAGTAATTAGAGGAAAGCATTCTACATGGCGACGGTAACCAGCGGAGTGCCTCAAGGATCGGTGTTGGCGCCAATTATGTTTACTATTTTCGTCAATGATTTAGAGTCAAACATAAGCCCAGGTAGTTATCTGAATATGTTTGCAGATGACGCAAAGATACAAAAGAGGGTAACAGACAACGTCTCATGCCAATGCCTCCAAAGTGACATCGAGAACTTATTCACGTGGAGTTGTACATGGAAAATGGAATTCAATACCAATAAATGCCACGTAGTCAGATTTGGAGAAAGTAGAAATCGCCCACTATTCCAATACAAATTAGGGGACGCAGTATTAGACACAGCTGACAGGGAAAAAGATCTTGGGATAATCATAAATAGAAACCTAAATCCAAATGACCATATAAATGAAAAGGTCCACAAAATGTTAGGACTGATTGCCAACATGAAGAGGGCATTCGTGTATGTGGACGAAGATATGGTAAAGAAGATTATTAAAGCAATCATAAGACCAGCTCTTGAGTACGGTGCAGTGGTATGGAGTCCACACTTGAAAAAAGATATTGACAAACTGGAAAGAGTCCAAAGAGCGGCGACAAGATGGGCACCTACCCTAAGAGATCTGAGTTACGAAGACAGACTACAAAAATTAGGACTTATAACCTTGGAAGAAAGAAGGAAAAGGGGGGATATGATTATGCTTTTCAACTGCATTACAGGAAGAGTGAAGATAGATAAGGATGACTTTTTGATCTTGAACACAAGAAGAACGAGAGGACACAACAAAAAGTTGAAAGTAAAAAGAGGTGATAAAGATGTCAAAAAATATAGTTTCCCAAACAGAATTATTGAATCGTGGAACAGTCTCCCCAATCAAGTAGTGTGTGCCAAAACTGTACATCAATTTAAAAAGTTATATGATAATTTAAATATAGCAGACGGGACCACCTGAGCATAGCTCTTCTCCCGTATCCAAACAACTAGGTAAGAACACACACACACACACATTATAGACACAATATTTTTAAGGTGTTATATGATTTCTCCCGGACAAATGAATAGTTTTAAAATATTTTTGGAGTAAATTCCAATAAAAATAGTATTTTCAGTACATATTTTGGGTGAGGACAGATGTAGACAAAATAAAAGTCAGCAGCAAGTCGAAGGTCTGACACGACAACAACACCAAAACAAACTCAGTCGACGTCAAAGACAAGAATCAGCAACATGTTGGACTTTTTCGCTGTTATTACCAAGGGCGGCCTGGTGCTATGGTATTTTCAGGATGCCGCCCAGCAACTGAAGACGTCCATCGATGCCATTAATGCTCTCATCAGGAATGTTGTGCTACAGGTAATAATTTGTGGAAAGTATTAGGCGAGAGTGAAAGTTGCGACATACACTACGCAACTTCTGTCAGGTGGCGAACTTTTTGTCAGATGTCGTATTGATTTACGTTCAGAATGTACATTTTCCTAATCTTTCATTTGAGAAACGTAGAGACTTCATGGTAAATACAGAATTTAGGTCCATAAGCAGTTAGCTGAGAGATCGAAATATGAGACCTGGTTGGTATCAGTTCGATACCCGAGATTTTCCTAATATGTATTGGCAAGTAATGAGGGCAATAAAAGATGCAAGAAAGACATTTTCAGTTACTTAAGCCTTTCACTTATTGAGTGATGATATCTTATTTACATATAATTTTGTCAGAAATATTCCATTGAACTACCACATATGAAAACAGCTGTTCCCATCAAGCAAAGCCACCTTAATGTGGAATTAAGGCTAATATAATATTAACACTTGAAACAGACTGTTTAGGTATTCGAACATCAAAGCAGTCTGGGAATGGAATATAATTTTGTTCCAATCAGGTGCTGTGGTCCCTTTACCATCTTGGGTGTTTATGAAATAAAGTAAAGCAATGCAAAACAAATATATGAAAAAGTAGGAAGATAGAGAGTGTTTCTCTTTTTTTCTTTTCTTTTTTTTATTAACCTTTTACTCATTGGTGTTAGGGGATGTGCTATCTCATTATATGGGGAGTAATCACAGATGCTGGGTCATACCTCATCACACCATAACTCAAAGCCCGATCACTGAAATGAAGTCTCACTTACCCCATTGTGAATGGGCAGTTTACCTTCTCAAAAATTTATTGCAATTTTTACCAGTCAATATTCCAGGTTATAAAACATGCAAAGGCTCGCAGTGATGCGGATCTTGAGTAATAACTATGACCATTTTAACTTGTGTCCAGTTTTCTTTTTCAGAGATATTTAGACCAACAACTAAAAACAAAGTCCATCCATATTTTAAAACAAAAATGAATAACAATCACTCAATTATTTTTATTTCACAACTGTTATTAAAAGTGGAAAATCTATTGCTGTTGCTCGCACCTTAAATGTCCTTTGCTCTCAAGTTGCAGCCTATACATTGTCGTTGCTCACTATGATGCATCCACAAGAAATTACATATTTTCCAACAAGGATTATCAAGTAAAAAAATTATGTTTATTGACAGTCAGGGCCATTCAACATCTAACTGCATTCCTTATCAATTATCAGTCAGCTTTTGCCACCCACATTTTGAAATTTTGTATGCAGGCATGATAACCAATGTCCTTCCACCTCTATCCCCTGAGGTGAAAGTTGACATTTCTGCTATTTGCTAGTGTTAAACATTGAAAACAATTCACAAAAATTAAGTTGTAGTATAGAATAGGTTAAGGCATAAAAGAACCTTGTGATTATTTTTAGATTTGTATTTCATAACCCTAATCACTTCGGCATCTGTCATTCAACAGGAGATGAAATATTTTCCTCTTTTTGTTCTATTTTTCTTTTCTAGAAATTTATAAATACTTACCATAGCTTCCATTCTGTAATGCATTTTTCAAAAGTACATGCATTGTCTCCTCAGTGGCTTAGTCAGCTAAGGTGCCTGAATACTAATCTAGTACTTAATGCTTTGATGTTTTGGCAGCAAGAAAAAGTTTCATGGAAATGTATATCATGGGATGTTTGTAAGAGTTACAGACCTAGGTAATGATACTTTGTGGGGGAGGGGGTGGAGCAAACACAAGGCATCGAGTCAAACTCCAGCCAACAATCTTTTGGGATCCAGTGGGGAACCATGGGTTTGGGGTTGAGGAATATGGGTAATATTGCATGTAGGAGACAATTGAAATGGTGAGCAAATAATCAAATCTTAGATTATAAAGAAAGTGTATAAAAGAAAACCATGATCCAGGGTTTGGTCACAGCAGATTCAACTCAGCATTTTGTGAATGATTAATGAGGCCCCTAAACTGGGAATTTGGCTTGCCAGACCCCCTCCTGATTGCTGTATCTCCCCAAGCCAGGGGCCTACCCCTGAACCCCACCTGATCACCATATTTTCCTAGCTGGGGGTTTCTGGTCAAGAACCCCATTACCATATTCCCCTAACTACATTTCCTATCTGACTGCTTCATCCATTACAGTATTCTGTACATTTAAAAATGCAAAGTGGGTTTACCTTTTGGTGAATGGTAGTGACATGCATGGGTGGTTTAAAAGGGGACAAACTTTGATTTCTATGGGGTATGTGCACCCACAAAACACTTCCCTGAATATAGTATTATCCCCGAAATTGTAACACTACTTAGTCATGGGAGGTGCATGAGGACTGTGGTCAATGAATTGCTCAGAAATATGTCATTTTGCACTTTACTTTTGACTTTGTTGATTAGTCTACATATAGTTCTTCTTTTTTAGTAGTATTTCATATTTTTTTATTAAATTCCATTTCTATTAGATTAACAAAATATATATTCAGTGATGCCTTGCTCTCAAAACATCATGGCATATTGCAGAATCCTGTTACTACCTTATTCCAGGAGGAGTTGACTCATAGGCACTGGCAGCCTGACATAACTGTGAAAACTGTACTTAAAAACAAGTGAATTTTATTTTATTTTTCTACAAAATGACATAGAATTGCATTATCTCATTCCTATTGATTTCTAATTGTAGTAGGGGCTTTAATATCCAATTGATGATTTTTTTTTTTTTTTTTTTTTTTTTTTTTTTTTTTTTTTTTCCTTATTGGAATATAAAACATTAATTAGAATTAAGCCTATCTTGACTTCATAAAATAGGTTGTAAACAGCATTGTGTTAGAGATATGAAAATCTATTATCATCATTGAGACTTTAAAAACTTGCACTTCGTGTTTATTTCATTTTGGATTATTACCAACTTGGGGAGGGGGCGCTTGAAACTGCTTGTATGTGAACACAGTGGTAATAAAAACTTGACTCCTGCCACAGTCCTTCTATATTGTGTATAGTTATACAGCACTGATTTTATATCAAGCTATCACAGACCAAAATTACATGTTTTTCATCTTGTTTGAACCTAGCCTTTTTTTAATTTTTGGTATATATTTACATTCATACTCTTTTTCTCTCCTGATTATTCAAAGTTATGGATATTTAAAAAAAAACATGATTTTTGGCTTATAGGGAAAAATAAAAGGTTTGATTTTAGAAGTTGTATATCAAAAAAGGAAGAGAGGAAGAAAATCTGTTATTCAATAGGTATATATTTACCATAAATTTTCTTATTACTTATACTTCTTTTCCTTTGATTATTTTGTTATGGAAGGCTGTTTTTGATATATGGTATATACTTTTTCATCTGTTTGCAGGAACGAGGAGGAGGTGGCTACTACGATCATGGAAACTTAGCACTAAAGCAACACATGGACAATGAATTTGATTTACTCTTTGTTGCTGTGTATCAGAAAATATTACAGCTCTCGTATGTTGACAAGTTTCTTTCTGATATTCAGAGAGAGTTTAGGGACCGTTTCAGGGACCAGCTGAAGGAAGGGCAATACTATCAGGTAAGATTTTTAAGATTCTTTGTTTTATCTTACATATATAGATAAAAGAGCTTATAGACATGGATACTTTATTTGGTTCTTCTTCTGAATTTGGCTAATCAAAACATGCCTGTTCCAGAGTTTTGAATTTTCTGATGAATATGGAAGGATACTCCGTCAAGCAGAAGAGGAAGCGAGGATGATGAAAGCGGAGCACCGCAAACCTCGGTCCTTCCAAGAGTCCAGCAAGGCCCATAAGACGGTTTCATCCATGATTAAACAGCGGGATGAACCAAAGAAAGCCTCGAAGAAGAAGGAGGGTAAGGCTAAATGGGTGTTTGATGCTAAGGAAAGGATCCCAGGGTGTTTGTAAATCTGTTGGTTGAGGTTTTTACAGAATGCTGACAATGACCATTTCTAATGGTTATCCGTTTTATAGTGTTTGGTGATAGTCTGGCAGATTGACTACTTTGCTTTTAATAAAACAGGTGTTGGTTTCATAAAAGGGATAGTCAGAAATAAAAGTAAAACTTGTTGGCCTGAGATGTATCTCAGAAATAATGATCAGGAGTCAGTGAGTGTTAGAAATAATAATGATAATTTATTTATCCATTTATTAAAGTTCTTTCATTTACATTGAATAGCTCTGACATTTACCAATGATTATGCAAACTGAAAAGGATTAAGGCCTGAGGTGTATTGTAGATATGATTGTAAATGCATAAATAAAGATATAAACTTGAAATTAATCCCTAGAAGCAGAAAAATCTCACAAGAGATATTTCTTATTAATGATTTTATAACCGCTGTTTTGATAAGACTTGGTTTTGGGGTCTTTTAATTTCAATTGGATGATGATGTATTCTATATTTTTTATGTGAAAAAATGTGGCCATGTTTTTAAGGATACAGAATAGAATTAATAGTTTTTTATTATGTTTTTTAATGTTTTATATACATAATTTGTCTATTTTGCATTTGATATGAGTTTAGATTGCCAACCTATTGCTAATAATACTGAGAAATAACTCTTTCCCATCACATCCCATCCCTAAACCTAATCCCCATCTCTCTCTCTCTCTCTCTCTCTCTCTCTCT